CCGAGAGCGAGGCCGCTTTTGTTGCCCTCGCGAGAAACGAGGACGTCTACTTCCGTCTCGGATGGCATGTTCTGAAGAACAGAGATTATGAATCACGCCACTGCAGCGCAGAAACCCGCGACCTTGCGGAGGTTCAATTCCTCTCCTCCGGGGTGTGGAACGACCTCCCTCAGGGGGCCGTGGGAATCGTCGCTCTACGGCAGCGGCTCAGTCAAGCGCTTCTGGACCAGATCGGAAACGAGCTGCCCCATCTGGCGGCAGAGATCGAGTCCAGCATAGAGCACTGCCGTGTCGAACTCTCGCGTCTCGGCGAAAGCCGCGGCACTGCGGACGAGCAGCGGCTCTACCTTCTCCGTATCAGCCAGTCCTTCCAATCCACGGTCAAGGCAGCAGAGGACGGCTCCTACGGGGACGGAATCTTTGGCGACGCCCGGGCCGCTGACGGCTACTGCATGCGATTTCGTGCGGTGATCCAGAATCTCAACCTCGAGTTCGCGGAGACAATGCGAAGAGCCGGCCATCACCGCAGGATCATCGACGACGCCGCTGCAGATGCCGAAGAAGAAGACGGGACGGTCACGAGAACGGAATATCTTAACGAGATCCGCGAGCTGCTCAAGCGCAGCCGAGGGAGGGAGCTCCCTGGGATGTTCAACCCCCTCATCGTCGGCGAGCTGTTCTACGAACAATCTACCCCGTGGGAGAGATTGGCTCGGAAGCACATGGAGTTAGTATGGAAGAGTGGTGTTGCATTTCTGGACCTCCTGGTTGGCGAACTGGCGGACGTAGACACGGCGGAGGCTCTCCGTCGCGAGGTCATCCATCCCGCGATGGACGTGCTTCTGCAAGGTTTGAATCGCAAGTTGAAGAAGATCATCACACCTTTCCAGACTGGCCATCCCATCACCTACAACCACTACTTCACAGAAACGATCCAGAACGTCAGAGAGAGGAGGCTCCAGTCCGAGGTGCGTAAGAAGATAGTACGCGTCTTCGGCTTGACGGACGCCGTCACTCTCGAGGACCTTCCCGTAAAGAAGTTGAAATTGTCAACCCTGGTCGGGGCGTTAGCGACGCGTAACGAGGCAGACATGGACCGTTACGCCTGCTCGGAGGTTCTCGATTGCATGGAAGCGTACTACAAGGTGAGATTGGTCCCCCCAACCCATCAGCACGACCGACACTTATCCATATCCTACCGTAGGTCGCGATGAAAACTTTCATCGATAATGTTGCGGTGCAGTGCGTGGAGAGCAAGCTCGCCAGCAAACTCGAGAACATACTTTCACCGTCGCGAATCATTCAGATGGATGCCTCCCAGATCGGGAGGATCGCAGCTGAGTCTATCCAATCCCAGGATCGGCGAGAGAGGGTGTCTCGAAAACTCACAATCCTGGAAGCGGGAGCTGAGGTGTGCAAGCGGTTCGTCGGTCAAAGCTCAATGGGTATGTTCCGCACTCCTCATCGTCTCAGGCTGAGGCTGATCATTTCAGACACCTTACAACACCATCAGTGGCCGGTTGACGGGGTCGAATATTTGGAGACAGAAGAGGATGACTCGTCCATTGCGGATGTTGATGAGGTATGCAGGCGGACGCTGGCGAGGAACAAAATTACTGAGATTATGCAGGATGACGAGATTGAAACTGACTCAGCAAGTCCCCAATTCGAAACGTGGGCGTGCCCAACTGGTTCTGTAGATGGTGTGCAGTATAAGGACGTTCAGCAGGCGGTGGCGAAAGTGCCGGATAAGCCAAAGAAGAAGAAGAAGAAGAAGAAGAAGTCCTAAAATCCGGGGGTTGCAGTCATAGTACAGAAAGGTGGACGGCACATTTCTACATGCTTTAGACCTCGTCTTTCTCGAGTTTTGAATTTCGAATTTCACTTTTCCACTACGGCTCTCGAGGACCGTGGATGGACCCCGGGTTCACGCGGATCTTGTCAGGCTGCAAATAAGCAAGAAAATTTTATTTGATTTTTTAATAATGAAGTTACTCCGTTCCGGATGCAATTCGCACTCCTGTGCTTGTAATATACTCCAATTGAGATATGTGCATCGCCGGTATCGTAACACAATCAGTCTGTTACCTCCCATCGTAGGGTCGTCGCTGGGCTCAATAGATTGGCACTTCTCTCTTCAGCCAGCGGCGGTAGGTACAGTATCACAAGGACGTCTTCACCAGGCGACGTCCAGGAAGGATTACTTGCACTTCCTAATACTTAGACAGGCTCTGATTCATGTTGGCTTTGTTTTGATTGTTCTGTTTCTTGCTCTCTATTTTTATCTTGATCGATAGGCGACATCTTTGGTGTTGAATATAGTTAAGTCTCTAGCGCTTTTTCCAATTATTGTGAGTAGGGCTGCAACTTTAAAAGTAGGCTGGAAATCATAGAACAAAGCTTTAGTAATGTTGGCATAATTGCAATAACACCCGCAGTATTGAAGATACAGTCCAATCAACCTTAGTGACCATCCCAGTAGTAGAGTGAATATCATTTAACCTAATCCTCATTTGCGATTGAAGGCAAAATTTCCCGTGACACAAGTTCGCACAGATATTTTATTGTGTCAAGCTGTGACAGTAGTTTCTGGCCTGCCCTTGAATCAGCAGCCACAAGGGTGTCTTCTTGGTCTCCACAAACGTTTCTGATATGTAAACTGCGAATACTGCTCTCGGCTTCTGCGACAAGGTCTATTATGCCTTGCGGTTAGAATAAGGAATGCGAGGAGACAATCACAGTAAAAACTGACCGAATGCCGTTCTAAGTCGGGAATCCTTGTAGATCTCGCGAAAAATATCTTGGACTCGTATCAGTTCGGGCATGGTATCTGGAGCAATGACTTTGACGTCCAAAGGCGCATAGGCCTTCCTTTCTTCTTCTGGACGATTTGGAAATCGGTTAAATATCGGTTGCAATGATGAAGAGGAACTAGACGAACCGGAAAAGATATTGGACCTAAAGGACGCAGAGAACACCGTGTCGACATTTGTTCTCTGTTGTTCTTCTGTCTCTGGCTCAATTAGAGCCGCAAAATAGACTGCTAAGGGGAGCTTCCATCCAGGGTCGAACATATTTGCAATTCCGTGAACTGCCTTCATCTTATCGTGCATTTCTTCCGATGGAGTTTGTGGTGAACGTGCATTTGGCCAGATGATACTGCGAAAACGACGCACCTCCTTGGTCCAGTCCGGTCTTTCATTCTTCTGCGGGGGTTTGCACCTTTCCTTAAATAGAGGCTGCAAAATGTACAGCTTATTTTCATCGGTGAGCGCTTGCGCGGTGATCATTTGGCACTTATCCACAATCTTCAGTGACCCTTGAGAGAGGTATTCCCCAAAATAATAGCCGTGATCAACTCGCAGACGCCACAAATTATCCAGGTTTTTCCAAAAAGGATGGTCATCGAATTTACGGAAGGCACCAATAAGATCTAAATCACGAATGAATGTTCCTCGAGGGAACCGTGTCGTGTCTAGAACATACAACTTGATTTCCTCCAGGCTTGATCCATCACTGGCACTCAAGTGCCGATAGAAGACATACTGCAGTGCAAAAAGTAACGAGCTTGTCCACGATACGAAATTGTCATTCGAGTTATACTTTGGCCACCACCGAAGATGTTCGTTCAGTGCACGAGCAATAACCCTCCGCCGTTCGGAGTTCAAAGCGGAGAAGGTGTCTTCTTGACACCGTACCTTGTCCCTACTCGCAGATTCTGAACGCACCCATGTCTCATTGGTTTCCCCATCAGAACGAGGCGATGCGACGCGAAAGAGAAAGCGGGGAATCTTGTCGAGTCTCTCTTGCAGCCATGAGGTATCTCCTTGAGGGTTGAATAATAAGCATTCCGGCTCTCCTAAGCTGTCACTCAAGTGAGTGTTTCTCATCGAGTCTGTTAAAGTTGCCACAGCCATTTTGAGGATTTTGCTGCTTCTTGTCCCGGCTCAATGGGGTATCTGAATAAGGAAGTCTGGTTTGCCGTTTCCGGTGCTGAAGCTGGGGCATGACAATCTTTCATAAAGGGCGGATTCGAATGGTCGTCCTTTTGGTGAACGAAGATGGAGACTTCCTGGTTTATCCCCAATGGCATCACGTGCTTCTGCTGCTACCAGGGATGGTAAAGAGTCGTTGACGTCATTAAGAATAATTACTATAAATTTTGGGGGGATGAAGTATATATGAGCAACCCCCACGAAACATTAAGCAATTCAGATCTTCCACCAAACGGCGGTATTCAGTCAGGATGCCCAAGAGAATTTTGAGGACGATCAACTCCCCAACAGTGGAGCCTGATCCCCGTCAGGAGCTTGTGGATTCTTTGGCAAGGTGCATTACCCTCCACACAGGGTTTTTTTTTGTATTGGATATATGTAACCGGGACTCTTTGGCAGCCTCCTGAAAGAACCCAAGTATAGCGATCTGACAATCATCTGTCATTCGCACTCCTTCCTCGTTCATAAATCCATCGTCTGTCCCCGATCCGACTTCTTTGCTAAAGCTTGTGATGGAAAATTTCGGGTACTCTAATTCCTTAACTTCTGCATGGAACTTGACGCTCGGCTCATATGATTTCAGGAGGCCGCTTCCGGGGAAATCGCACTGGACGAAGACCCACTACTGGTTAAGAAGACGGTGGAATACCTCTATTTGTTAGACTACCAAATTGATGGCGTTCGGAGCTCGGAAGTTGAGACGCCTAACGATGAAAATACACCACTTACATTTAAGACCAGCGATAAGCCTTCTTCGGTGGCTTCGACGCAATATTATGATCCTGTTTCCTTTCATATACTGATGTATTCGCTCGCAGACCGCCTGCTCATCCACGGCCTCAAATCCCTTTCAAAGATGAATGTCAAGAAGGAGCTGTCTCAGCGTCTAGATGGGGATGCTTTCCGAAAGGCGGTCATCGAGACATATAACACAACGCCTGAACATGAACGGGGTCTGCGGGATCTAATTGTCGAAATGACGATAGATCATTTGTCTGATTTGAGACAGGAAAACAACTCAGCGCCTGCTGCTTTACAAGATAACCTTTTCAAAGAGGTTCCGGGATACGCATATGATCTTTTGAAAACAATGATAAACAAAAATGTGAAGAGGAACCAAGTTGGTTGGTATTAGGGGCCCAAGTTAGACATTGATAAGCGGGTCGGGGAATTCCATACCCCTGAAGGGAGCACTCGGAAATGGAGTTTCCTATCTATCAGGTCTGAAATACGAACGTCCAGTCCCTATCCAAAGATTTTATGTAGTGTTTCGTTAAGTACAATACTCCGATGGAAGAGAAGGTACCCCGAATGACGTAATAGACTCCACCACCAAAAACCTTATCATCATAGTAGTACGATCCCCAGGTGCATGGGTTAATGACAAGGAGCATTTAAACATATACATTGTGGACCAGAAGCGCGTGCCCCTGGAAATCTTTAACGCCATCCAGCACATCTGGGCACGACGGGTGAGGACACCAGAGCAGAGCATCGGGGTCAAGGTAGCGGAGGTGACAATCTTGGACATGTCTTCGAAGGTGATCGGGTCGTGAAAAGGAGTACATCCGCGCGGAGTGTGGCAGCTGGCTGTCTCCGAGACAGAACAGACACTGAGTACCCGGACATGAGATGGGAAAGGTGTCCGCGTCAATGATGCCGTCGAGCGCAATATCAATTCCAGAGTCAGTAGATGAGACTCTCCTCTTGCGCGGCCCCTCGCGTAAGCTGCAGAGTGAAACCCAATCCTAGATGGTTTGCACTCGGCGAGCATAAAGCTCGTGCTAATCTTCGATTCGACAGTCCGACGAGCGGAAGAGATTACGAGCGAGCCGCGCTCGTTCCTCGAATACAAATTGGACCTTGTCCTCATCGGCCATCTTGAGTTCCTGGCTAATAGACAATCCTAAAAGTTGCCTCTCGATCTCGATGGTGTCGATCGTTGCGAAGAACTCCTGTCTCATGTCATCAAACGCCTCGCGGTGGAGAGCCTGTTTCTCGGCCCTGATGGTATCCCCAAGCTCTGTGTATTGGCGATGCAGCGATGTGCCCTTGGCTTTTGGGACTGAACCGTGCTTTCTCTCGATAAGCTTGTGCAATGAACGCTGCCGGTCACACAGCTTGATGAGCTGAGGATCCCGCTCGATTGCATCCTTCTGCTCATTGCTAAGCTCCTTCGGAGCACGAGGATCACGCGTGAGGCTGAACCTTCCAACAGCCTGGATGATGGACTCTCGGGCAGGGCAGCCAAGGTAGGCGGACTGTACATCCCGCTTGACTTTCACCGATATATAGTAGCGTTCGAAGATATCCGCTCGGGAATGGCCCATGACCTGGTTACGCTCACTGGTGGTTGCAACAGCTGGGCGTGGAAACATCAGAACGCCGTTGATGAAAGTGTGGAGATGCCGATAATAATACTCACTATCAACCGCGTTGGCGGTTCCTCGCCTGATACAATACGGCGTCAGCTTGTGCTCGAACCCCGCATTGCGTCCCAGGCGTTGGAGATACTGGTTGAATGTGTCATAGGGCAGAGCTTTGTCTGGAGAGATCCGAATCCCCTCTGCGGTGTGAACGGCTCGACGGAATACGGGGACATTGAGCATGTGGGGTTTCCATTTCAGATGCAGGCTGTTACGGGGCGCCATAACCCGGATGCGGAGCACATCTTCAATTGAGTTGATGCCTCTTGCGTCGAATGCATCATCAGCCAGTGCCAGGGCAAGGAAGTGGGAGACAGGACAAAGCGCGAGGTTGTCATCTCGTTCGTGGAAAATATAGGTTGTCCTGTACAAGTCAGTTTCCTGAAGATAAAATGCCAGACGGGTGGAGCTCACGGTTGTGACTTGTTCCGCTTCCCCTTCATGAACAGAAGAGATACTTCCATCACAAGTACATGCCGGTCCGGTTGATCTGGGTTAGGGATCACACGCAGCACAATATCCTTATAGCAGAGGGCATCGTTGGAACCACGGAGACAACCACTCTCGATGAGTGCTCCGGGGCGCGTTGAGGTGTAGGCGATAAACAACATGAGCAGTGGATTCTGCACGGTATATCGTTCATGGGTAACACATGCGGTATCTAGACACCAGTGATAGTGGAGGATGGCCACAAGGTCTTCCACACTCACTACCGGTTTGTAATCGATCGACAGGTCCAAATCGTACTCATCAGTCAGAGGACCCAGGATGAACTGATAGTGATAATTAGAAAAGAGGAGACCGATGTTTTGGGCCGGGGCTCTACCTCGCTGATTAGTTCGCCCACCAATTCATCCACTTTTCGACCTGTCTCCCTCTTAAAGAGCAGTCGAAGGAATTTCCACTCAACCCAGATCGTACTCTGTTTGGTGATGTTGAAATTTTTCAATCTCCAATCAGCATAGACTCGGAAGTTCTCGTCCACACATGCGGAAAGATGAGAGTGGGCGTCGACACCCATAAACGTACAGTGGCTTCACAAGAGATGTCAGCAGCTTCCACCATGGATCCGATATGCATGAGACTCACCGATCCCAGAAGCGCTGAACACGATTGATGGCAATAATTGTGGCATCGGCATATTTCTTGCCTGTGACCTGGAATCGAGCCAATCTGACGGTATCTCTCGCGCGGTATTCATCTGGGGTGAGCTCCTCGCCTATCTTCTTCCGGTCGCGTCGGCTCTCCTTGGTGCGTCCGGAGGACTTCCAGAAGCGAGCCCATCGGGAAAACATGTTATCCGTATAGCAGGAGGAAGCAGAGACGGCAAACATATGTATTGGCTAGTACGGAGAGATTGAAATGAAGCAGTGCGAACAAGGCATGCGGAAAGAGTAGAGACAGTGTCGCTTGAGGGAAGTGAAGGTCGGCCAGAGAAGAGAAACACTCGAAAGGAGCGCAGGGTGTTGGATTTATGCATTTTGAAGAGCAGAGAGCTACCACCAACGAGGCTAAGCATAAGTAATTCGTAGGACATAGCGACGTTCACGGTCGGCGAGATATGTTGTGAGAAAGGTAGGGTTGTCTGTAAGGATAGAGTGGTGTTTGGGTAAAAGCAGCATACGTTTGGCGTCACGTGCTGAGAAACTGGCTTAAAACGGCGTCGAAAAAGAGGCATTCTGATTGGCCGCACCCCCATCTTACAGACTATAGAGGTATGGAGATATCCTGAAGAGACGTCACGCCTTAAACGCTGCTTGGGACGGATGAATTTTCTGGAAAAGGCCTCTGCTTCAAAGGATAACCTTGTTACATTTTTGAATCTCTGGAACCTATCCGAACCACTCATCTCTCGGGCCTATCGCAACCATGCGATAACGACGTAACGCGACGAGATGGGAGGGAAGGCTGAGGCTACCTGCAGCCTTCTCTACGGATTACTCGCCGGCCCCGTGCTGCCACCCCAACAACATCCACCCCGCTTCAAGACCTGCGTCGATTTTATCCATGCTCACGAATATTCCTTCTATCATCGCTGAAAGGAATGATATCCGTGTTGTGGCGCTAAATTCTTTCCACAAGTCGGGTATCTAATTGCACTAGTCCGATTTCTCAACCTTCGCATTTCGTGCCTCCTTAGCAATTGGAGCTTTCAAGGTAGCCTAACCCCATGATCCTAATCCTCCAATCCTATTCCATTATTCACCCTAACTTCGGCTAACAGCGAGTGAGCAGCAGGTAATTCTTGAAGAACTCGTGAACGTCCCTTAGTCAAAAATCATTGTCATCATCTTGTAATCATCGCTTTGTAGACCACTGAAAGGGAAATCGCTCCAGACCTAAATGGTTAGCGCTAGACCGGATGCCGAACGGCGTTAGACCCGATGGGTTCGATATACTGTTCCTAGGCACCGAGGCGCCAAGGTGGGTGGTTTGATCTCAGAGTTAACTAGTGGTTATACGGGGGGGGTTTGGGTGGCGTTATAACCCATGTTACTATGTATGTTAGCCAAGCCCCACGATAACTTTTTAGTGTTTAATTATACCGTACATACATTCAACCCCACTTGATTCATACCGTACGAGCAGGCATCATCCTTCAAGAATAGATTTTTAAGCACCCCTGCTCTGTATTCTTCATCATGACATCTCTAGCTGACTGTACAGAGGTGGAGTGGCAGCTTCAGATCAGCAAAGACCTCTTTTCGTACGGGGAAAAGGCCCTGGCCCTGGCCCTGCAGAATCGACCAAAGAATACCAATAAGCAGTATCTCCCCAAGCAGAGAGAAATGAAGTTCTGCTGAACTGGCTGGTATAAAAATGATCAAACATCTGTGATGAGCCATCTTTGTACAGAGCTGAACTTCCTCATGAATCACAACATGCTTCTGCAGGGGGAGACATCCCGTACGGCACAGCTGCCTGACCTTTTCATCCTTCAGCTTTCAAATGAGGGGCCCACTCCATGCTGGCCTATGATTCTCATCACAGATAATGGCAAGACCAACCAGCTGGGGCGGCTGAAGTATGCTGCTGTGATGAGACATAAGAATCCTCTACTCTGTACAATATCTCATCTGGCATTCTATCTGTTCTACCGCTGGAATATTGTATGGGAAAGTCTTCCAGACTTTTGAAGACACTCTCTCTGATATGATATCCACCTTCTCTGTGAACAGGATCCCTTCAAGCCTCTTTCGTACGATACTCAGCTTCAGTAGGTCAATCGCATGTATGCAGCAGCTGGGCTTCTGTCAAGCAAGAAGACTCATCTTGGTCGGAGTCAGGGGTTCAGATATGCTGAACTGAATGGGGTGTCAGAGGGTCAGATTCGCCGGGCTGGCCGATGGAATAATGATGCTCTGACCAACTGCTATCTCACCAATATCCCCCGAGAGTTCGTACGAGCAATGGCAGGGTTTGAACCACAGACTCAGGGCAACTACTTTCTTCCTCGAGCCACCAACCCCCCCCCCCCCCCCCCCCCCCCCGAAGCAGCTGGAGGCTGCCATCTGGCCATGGGTGGATGTCTGGCTAGATAGATTTGATTCGTACGAGAGATTGAGCCAGAAACAGAGACAGACACAGAAGAGGGAAAGAGAAGCAGCAGAAATGGAAGAAGTGAAGAAGACAGAGCAAGAATTGTCAGAGAATGAACAAGACTTAGCAGCTCAGAGATTTCTGCGGCTGCTGAAGCAGCTTCATACAGTGATTCTTCAGGACTCTGTGCTTCTGCAGAGGCAGTTCCCTGACCACCCTCTATGGTCAGATGCTCTCTTCGTACGAGAGGATTATCAGAAGTATACTCTTCAGATTGTTCAGGCTCTTGAGACAGCTGTGGAGCCTCAGAAGATTCAGATTCAGCGAGTAGTATCTGTCATTGCTGATCAGCTGAAAAATGTGCGACAGGAGATGATTCAGTCCATTGATAAGTGGGGTTATGAGAATCAACAGCTGCAGCAAAAAATGGCTCAGCAGCTTGCTGATCTAGTTGATGGTCAAATCATTTTCTCCATACAGGCAGTTCCTCAGAGATCTGCTGCTCAGAATTCAGTGATGAATCTGGCTGCCATTCCCTCTACTTTCTCTCTGCCCTCCTCTTCTTCTACTTTTTCCAGAGACATCGTACAGAGGTCAGTGGAGTCAGAGATGGAGATGAGACAATCATCATCTAACAATGCTGAATCTGTGGATCTGACAGCCACACTTCTCACCTCTTCCCGGACAGGAAATGGCTATTCTCTTTCCCGTACAATACAGTCAGTGCCTGATCTGTGGCGGGAGTGGACCACTGGTCTGGGGGGTGGTCCATCAGTGCAGAGCCTGGAGGATCAGGGAGGCAGCTGGCGCAAGGGCTCCTCCAAGGAGCAGGTGATGTTCTGCCGGTGAAAGATCATCATCAATGAGATTCGTACGCGTGTGTCCTCTGATATGACTGTCAGTGCTGCTGTGGAATCTCTGGAGCTGATCCGCCAGCGGGGGAAGCTCTCTCTTAATAAATTGACAGAGCTGTTGAAAAGACAGAGACAGCTCTAGAGAACCTGTCATTTCCTTTCTCTTCATACGGAGTTGCTGGGACTTTGACTTTATATAATAATATAGATAGAGTGTATTTTTAGATGGATTAGAGTGTACTGCTAGCTAGCTAATGCAGCTCTGCTCTTCATTGTATGAAGGTTTCCTACTATACAGTGTATTCTCTCACTACAGCTGGCTATCGTACAAAGACAACAGAGGGTGGTGAGCTGATTGATGGGGGTGGATGAATTGGCAGATTGATGATGATGACAAAAGCAGTGAATTACATCTGCTTCTTTGCACCCACTCATCTCTTTATAATAATATCCTCTTCTCCTCTCTCTCCTCTTCTTCTTTTCTTCTTCTTTCAACACACCATCATATCAACCATGTATGTACAAAGCTCTGACAGATTGCTTCATCAACTAGATATCAGATATCACAACACTAACTGCCCTCTTCTCCATATGATATAGAGCTCTCTCCCTCCTCGGTCTCTCTGGCCCTCAGAGCCCCCATCGCATCCTCTTTGTGGCTGATCAACAGCTGAGTCCCTTCACCCACAGTCCACAATCCAGGGCAGTCCTGGCTCTCCCAGGGCAAGATGTACCCTTTGTACGAGGCAGCATGACAGAGCTGCAGGTTCGAAGCCACCGGCCATCGTACATCAATGCCATTCTCATTCAATCTCGCGGCCGGACGGAGCCACATGCATGCCTTGCCTGCCGGAGTGCTCATCCAGGTCTTCGGCCATTCCCAGAATGCCGTCGCCTGCCTGGCCACTTTGGTGGAGCTTGTGGCAACTGCAAATGGCGTGATCATGCCATTCGCTGCTCCGTACGAGATGGGGAAGGGGTGGAGGTGATAGAGATTGTGGATGATGATGATGAGGAGGATGGCCCTCAACGGCGGATGAGGGGTCCCTCTGAACAGCAGCTGCTCACAGCTGGTTCAACACCTGCTGCTCCTATAATCCTTGATTAGCTCTCTCTCTCTGGTATGTACAATCTCTTTTCTCTTTCTCTTTCTCTTTCTCTTTCTCTTCTGGAGGGGCAGGTATGTCATACGGAGTCTGTGTATGACACCTAGACATGATCTGCACCTCTACGTTGGTGTCTAGGACTAGTAGCCCATATGGTGAAGCCAAGCAGGTCATAGATAGAAGAAAGATAGAGGAAAGGTAGCTAGCTAGCTAGTCAGATCTATATCAATCAATTTTTACCCACAATATTTTTCTTCAGCCAATCATCTTGTACAGAGCTCCAATAACTGCCAAGATAACATGCCAAGCAGACCCCCCCCGTATAACTCAGTTATCCAGGGGGGGTTTGGCTGGGGTGGCGTCCGGGATAACCTGGTTATTTGGGGGGGTCATGTTATAACGCCGCTAACGCGCCCCGTGGATAACTCCGGTTGCAGCAGCATGACACTAAACTACTTTAATTACAAGTCATGTGCTCAGAGCAATCTTCATCAGAGGGTCTGAGAAGAAACAGTTCATCCTTCTGTGGAGATTGTTGAGATTTTCATAGATTCTTCAAATTGTTCAACTTTAACTTTCAATTACACAATCATCATACATATTTGATATTGGTGAACCACCTTAGCTTGTAGCTAAAGAGAAGAAGAATATAAATATATAATTTTTATATTAAAAAAATCAATATTTAATATAAATGTATCTTGTTGAAAATGATCATTTTTTTTTCTGATTGAAATCAAGTAAATAGCAGATTGTTCCTGTGTTTAAAAAAAAAAGAGTTGACTTTGAGGTGATACTTCATATCTAAGAAATGGGAATATGAAAATAGAAATTGATACCATTGTGAGAACATTGATTTTCCTAGATCTCAAGATGGTACAGAGATGCTGAATAGATGGAGTTGATTTGATATTCTCACTCATGTC